TTGAAGTAGCGTGGAAAGCCAACATTTTAATTATGCTCTTATTTTTTCTTCGGATTGCATGTGATATGCATTTCATTTGTGACTGCTGTTGAAAGTTCTCAAGTGGTATGGTTCCTGTTATGTGATACAGGTTTTTATTAAGGCTGTAGTTGAGTCAGTCCACATGCTTCGAAGAAGGACGGTCCTCGCTAAAACCTACAGGGTTCATTCACTCGAAGCCAGTTTTAATCATTGATGCGAGAAAGCGGCTGTACACAGTTGACAGTTTAAACCTTTCCGGACGGGTTGGTAGGGAAGCATGACATCCATATGAAAGTCTCGATCTAAGGAGGCTATTTGAGGATATGACTTCAGTTTGCAGATTAATGCTTTGGTTTGTGGAATATTTGGTGTTTAACAAATCTATCCATAAGTCTACTCTATATTTAATTTCATTATTTCCATAATTATGACCTTTGGCCCAACTAAGCTTAATAAGTATCAGCGGCAAACTGCCATTGAAAAAAATAATAGCATAAGGACCGCCTACAACGATTGTTTCTAATATGCGATTCTTTCTTCAAAAAGACCTGCAGATTGGCATAGTTTGAGTTTGACAGTGGAGCAGATCATGAAAAAATGTAAGTTGGAAAGATACGAGTATACGGCATACCTAGAAAATCAGTATTCAGTAATTTTTCTATCAGAAGTCTAGCCACTATCTCTGTCGTCATCGAATACAGGAAAAGTTACCATGTTATGAATCCGAGATCTAATCAAAGAATTATGGCGGCAAATTTGAAACGCTAACGATAAACGGAAACTGATTTTCTCTTTCAGAGGTGTTTTTTTTTTATTTCATTTTCTTTTTTTTTACAATCGTCGTTTGTAATCAATTCGTGAGATGAATTTCCGAGATCGAAACGTAATTATTCGGAAAAAAGCAGGCGCGAATTGTTTGATTGTCGTTAATTAAACATGCTGCAAATTAACTTGCATCGACGCCGTCTTTCTTTTCGGCAAATATAGAATGTACACACACACACTATCACCCCCCCCCACACACACATCCATCCACACATGAAAAACAAAATTAAAGACACACGGAGGGGTTGAAACATATCTGTAGCTATTCATATCAACTTACTATAACACACTCACACACGCACATTTTCATATTTAGATACATTCATAAAATCACACGCGAATACACATGGGGAGTGAGAGATTTACCTTATTTTTTCAGTGGACAGTGTTCGAGTCTAAGTGTACGCTATGATTTCGTATGCAGATGAAAGTAGGAAAGCTTAGGTAAAAATTAGCGAAACAATTTTCCTTAATAACCCTGTTTGGTTTGTTTGGGTTGTTTAACGGCATATCAACCTCAATGGGTTATTTAATGCCGACAATTTTTATTGTTGGTAATATTTTTTTTCAAAAATGTATTGCTGATAATATTGTTTTTCCTTCAAAAATCTATTTCTGGTAATATTTTTTCTTCATAATTTATGGTTGGTAATATTTTTTCAAAAGTGTATAGTTGGTAATATTTCTTTTTCAAAAATGTATATTTTAGTGAGTTTTGTTTTATGGTATATCATCCTGAATGGGTTATTTAATGCCGACACGATTTTTATTGCTGGTAATATTTTTTCAAAAAATACATTGCTGGTAATAATGTATTGCTGGTAATAATTTTTCTCCAAAAATTATTGCTGGTAATAATTTTTCTCCAAAAATTATTGCTGGTAATAATTTTTTACAAAGTTTTTCTAGTATTAAAACCTATTTTTATACTTTCATAATGTTCTGACCTCAGTTTTGGGGTTAACTATTTGCCCATGGATGGGACCCTAACAGGTGCTACCACCCAAATAACCATGTTTGAGAGTAGTATGAAACTCAGTGCCAATTTGTCTATCTATCTATTTTGTCCTGTTCACGTTTACGGTGATTTACGCTGATATTAAGTGCTAAGCCAAAGTTTGGGGAGATTGAATACAACGTATTATCAGTCAATTTAACCAGCGTTTCCCATGTCTCGCCCCATATTTCACATAACTATTTAATACACCTCATAAATAGACCAGTTTTATTTAAGCAAGCGTAATTATCCGTGGTTCCTCCAAGCAAGTGACTATTTTTCCTACTAAGCGAAATCTATTCTATATCAACCTGCGTTTATACATATCTGGATATGCATATATACTGGGTGTAACAGAATTACGACTGAGCAGTGAGTTCGCTCCTCACTGGGTGCCCCCTACTTTCGGCCTTGGAAAATCACTATCCCGGGTGTAACAACAAAATTGTTCAAATCGTGTAAAAGGAAAATTGTCCATTTTTTAGATTAAGCTTTGAACCGATGTAATCTTAGAGACGATTAAAGATATCTTACTGGAATTTTCCGAGGTTTTTATAACAGAATTGGTCTCTACTTTGAGCAATAAGAATGTATAATTACTCCCCAAGCTTAACAGAAATCGATTCAGCTTATTCAAGATGATCTTCGTCCTCTCTAACCTTCTAACTTTCTGCCCTGTAGTACATAGGTTTCACATCAGTCAGTTATGGGCCATGCGTGATTACACGCTTAGGCGATCATGTATCTTTCGATACATGAATGACGAGGCAAATTTTTTCCCGCAGTAGGATGCCATTTCCTTCTGGGATAGATCAGTTGCCGTCCAAGGCTGTAGAACCTGGTCTGGCGTGCTATTTATCCTTAGCTGAGGGGAGAAGAGGAGGATTAATACCTTTCCCAAGGGTATTAGCACGTAAGTAGGAACAGTGAGTTTTCTTCCCGCAGCAACAGCGAGTTTTTCTTCCCGTAGGAACAGCAAGTTTTTTTCCCATCTATGGTTAGAGAACTTAGTCTACCCTGCTATTTAATTGATAGTTGGAGGAAGAAGAGATGGTTTCATGCCTTTCTGAATAATTTGTCATACTTCTAGATGTCCCAGAACTAAATTTTTTTTTCAAGCATTACGCTCCGAGCAAGGCGTGAAGCCACTAGGATGCAGGGGGTTGCAGAAGATTTGGAGCAAGATCAGATAGGAGTGATAGAAGAAAGGATGAGGAGGAGGTGTAGTGGATAGATCAAGGCAACTGGAGATGTCGATTGACATTACATTTGAATAGCTGGAGATTATAGCTCTCAGGGAAACAGTAGTTGGGAAGGGTGTTCCACAGGCGAGAGGTGCGAGATATGAAGCTATTGGAGTAGAAGAGACGGCTACATTTAAAAATTTCTACAGTGAAAGGGTGAGAGCGGGATGCCAGCCTCGTAGGGCGCTTCAATTCATGGAGTCTGGGAACCAGTGAACGCAGCTCATCGGAGCAATTACCATGAAAGTATTTGTAGAAAAGACAGAGAGAGGCGACGGCGCGTCTGTGAGCCGTTTAAAAATAGATTAGATCACGGCGCGTAGAGGGGCCTCAACATACAAAGATTAAAAGAAATATTCAAATAGAAATTTTGGACCAATGAAAAGGCTAGTTTTCATTAGCTAAAAATCCGATGACACAACGGAGACGATGATTGAAAACTTTTTCGGCAACACCACTTAAGGGGAAAAGACCACAACACTTCGTACATACGATTCGTCATTTAAACACTTTCAGCCCGATCACAAGAAATTTCTTCTTCGAGACTATTAAACTCAATTAACAGTCACTCACTACAAGGCAAAAAAAAAAAAAAACATTATTCGGACTGTTTTCCTCATCTTCATTGCCATATTTACAACGTTTTGGCCGTTGTACGCTTCGGCTTTCTACTGGTGATTAGAATTTCGAACCATACTCATTATTTCGTCCACCGGGGTAGATTTTTCTAGTTCCACGTGCCAGGTCTCTTCTGGATATCTCAGTTGTTTCTCTTTAATTCAACTCTCCAAGTCTTTGGTTCACCACTGCTGTGGTCTGGTATTGAACTCACAACTCTTTGGGTCTAGACACTGGATCTAACCAACGTTTTTATCCACTGGGCCATGTGTCCTATCACCTGAAGAAGGCCGGAGCGTACAACGGCGTAAACGTTGTGAATATAGTAATGAATATAAGGATAACAGTCCGAATAATGTAAATAATGCAAGTAATCATAATACCTCATTTCAGAGATATAGACAGATGCAGAAAAATGTACGTTGAAAGTAAGATATTTTCACATTAGCGTTCCCCTAATTCTTATCTTTTCTACAAAATGAACTTTTAATAAGGAGATTCCATTAAGTAGGTTGGTTGTGCTAGCATGAAACCATAAGTCTTCGTGACCGAGGGTTTTAAACGTACTGGCCTTGTTAAAAAAAAGAAAGAAGATTGATATGACAGATCAGGCGCTAACTCTAAGAAACTAACTAAAGTCTATTCAGCATCATTTGCTGTATAAACCACAGGTGGGTTTTGTGGGTGTTGAATAAACACAGATGTACCTGAGCAGGCGTCTGCGCAATTGGGTACTCGGCCTAGCGGATGGGTGTGCTCGGAAAACGAGTAGCCGGTCATTACGCATTTCACATCAAATCCACTAAACATTAACGTAAATGCTTGGTTGGAACAAAGCGAACCCATCATATCTTGAATGTCAAATATTTCTGACAGTTTATTACAAGCGGTGAGTATGTCGGCGCCAGATCTACATTATTTGTATCTTCTCTTCTTTCTAGCCATGAACTCATCAGATTTTCGGTCACTTTTCGGTCATCCCACGCCCTCAGACGATAGGCAACCGACTGTATATTATTTGATCGACTAAAATCCTTTAAGGCAATGCAAACGTTCGTAGATATTGTCTATCTTTGCGAAAGAAACAAGATATTTTCAATGTAGACATTTTCCAAACTAGATTAAATGCTTTTTTTCTCTTTAAAGCCACATTGAACTAATTAATGCATTTATATTTTATGCAATTTTAATAATTTATTTTCTATGATTATAAAATTTATAAGATATTTTTTTTAATGCCAGGTTACTCGACGAGTAGTACTGATATCATGTAACCCAGTACTACTTGCAGCTTACGGACACATCACGTTCAAACACCAGATTCCGTATAATCACCAAAGTTAAGCAACGTCGAGCCTGGTGAGTACTTAGATGGGTGACCGTTTGGGAATAACAGGTGTTGTAAGCTTGGATGAGGGTAGTGTAATGGATAATGGCACGGAACTGTAAATTGGAGAGCCGAGTTCGAATTCCAGCTTAGTTCGGTTATACCCAATTACGTGCAAATACCCTTAAGAAAGTTAAGAATACGCATCTTCTCCCCTTCCAGCTTAATTACTAAGACTTGTACCATTAAAACCATTATTATCCCAAGATTAAAAAATCACCACAAATACGCAGGGGTTTATAAAGCGTGAAAGTGATAGAAAAGGCTCGGTATAGAGGGGTTTAAGAAAAGGATAAAAAATGAACGGGATTCAAGACCACAGATGATGGCGATTGATATTGCATTTAAATTTTTGAAGATTATAGTTATCAGGGAAGCAAGTAAGCGGAAGGGACTTCCACTGTCGGAAGTGCGAGAAAAAAATTCTTGGACTAAAAGTGGCGGTTACATTTAATTATTTCAACAGTAAATGGGTGGGACCTAGATACCAATCTCGTAGCACGCTAAAATTCAAGTAGTCGGGACATCTGGGAAAAAAAGCTCGTCAGAGCAGCTGCCATGAAAATATTTATAGAAAAGATAGAGGGAAGCCACATCACGTCTGTGAAAAAGCGACTGAAGTTGAGATGTCATTTCAGGGTCGATTACATTGCAGATCCTTCTTTGGATTTTGTCAAGAACAAAACAGCAGAAGTACCCGACCATATATGGCAACAGTATTCAATACACGGACTGAATGGTAGATAACTGACGAGAAAAATCTTCTGGCACGAGAGAATGAACGAAATTTCCTTGCAGTAGATGCAACTATTGATTCAATGTAGTTGTCAGTTGAAAACATGAGGCCACGAAGGCGCAGTGAGACGCTTTCCTGGAGTCGACAATCAGTCATGCTGATGGCGGCAGAGATTTTCTCTATGGTGGTTAAATGAGAGCAGTTTCGTTTTGGAGGCATTCAAATTTATAAGACATTTTCTTCCCCAGTTAACCACTGAGTAGAGGTCATTTTCAAGACCAGCCGCCTGTTTAACTTTGTCAGCTCTGACAGATTTGCTATTGAGACAGGAATTAATGGTAGTGTCATCTGCATAAATGCCTACTTGGGAACTGAGGACTTGAGCAAGATCATTGATGAAGATCAGAGACAGTGTAGGATTCAGGATAGAGTGTGGCCCAAAAGTTAACAAGAGATTTAAAAATTTAATAATTCGTTTACTTCTTAAGTTCACACGACCATAGTATTATCGGAAATGAATTTACACTCGTTGAGAAAGATTACATCTTTTCAGTGGCGTCCATTTTCAGCTTTGCATAAAATGTGCCCTTTTCTCAGACATTTTCTATCACTGCCTTCCTTAGTTGTTTCAGGCTCAAGTACTTTGATATCTCTCTAAATAACTCTATTGTCCTTCGTACTTATTGACATAAACCTTTTCTTTGATATAGCCGAACAGGACGAAATCGTAAAGAAAGATATTGATGCTTTTAAGAAATTGTTGGGGTGATGTGCGAGAGAACCTAATCTTTGGAGACAATCTTCGAGTTGAATCGCTCAGATCTTCTTCGATATCTCCCACCCCTTATTCGCTCAAATACTTCTTCATTCCTATCCGAACGTGACCGGACACTTTGTGGAAGATCACTTACTAAAACTTAACTCTCAAAACTTAGAGAATCTTTCATGCCGTACTGGTAACAATATGTTCTTTGAGTCTGAATCCCTGGTTTTGTGAGAAAATTTTCAAAGATTCTTTTAGAAGACAGAAAGCTGAAAGAAAGATAAACAAAAAGGAGTTATTGAAATTTCAGACATTTTGGTGACATTTGAGCCACTGTGTATCAGAGCACGAGATCAAATATCGACTGGATCTACTTAGTTCTTGCTCTTCAGGAAATATATAACCCATTATTTGTCTACCATGGTAACTGAAGAACACAAATTCAATGACTTAAAACTTGGGACTATTCGTGTAAGACAAAAATTGACCAACATTTGGCTAATCTTTTATTAAGTTGGTCCTTGATCTAAGCTTTCGTCTCACATGTGCGAAATACGACAAATGTTGGAAGTGAATCTTTAATTCTATACTACATCATTTGTAATTGTTTGTACTTATAGTCTTTAAGTTTTACAATATCAGTGATATGAAGAAATGTTTCTTGACTTAATCTATTGTATGTTGATCATTTATTAATATTCCCTTTAGGTATTTTGCCGTAATTGTCTGCGTTCAGTTTTCCTACTTGTTCCTTATATAATCATATATATATATATATATATATATATATATATATATATATATATATATATATGTGTGTGTGTGTGTGTGTGTGTGTGTGTGTGTGTGTGTGTGTATTGGGGCAGCAGATCATTATTTAAACATATATTGTTAAATATAACAGACAATGACTATCTATGATGCCTGATCATGAGCCATTCTAAAGTTCGTATCTTTGCTTGAATTTCTGGTGGAAATAAAGACAAAAATTGACCAACATTTAGATGTCTCTTTATTAAGCTGATCCTTGATCAAAGCTTTCGTATCACATGACTCGACTTCATACGGACTCATTTATACTGACATTTAAACAAAGATATTCAGCATAGCAATCTTCTATGTCAACATAACAAAATATCATTTAGGACGGTGAATATTTTTGTTTAAATGTCCGTATAACCACTCTGAAAATGATAAGGATCAACTTAATAAAAAATTACCCAAATGATGGACAGTTTTTGTCTTTATTTTCACCCGAAATTAAAGCAAACATGCGAAGTTGAGAACGGCTCATGATCAGACTTAATAGACATTCATTGTCTGTTATAGTTAACAATATATAAAATACTGTTTTTGAAGCCAACACTCATTGCTGGTTTTTCAGTGGTTTGCTGATGGGAAGGCATTTAAGGCAAGGAGGCTTATTGCTAGAGTGCTCAATGTCGTTAATCGAATTAATATAAAAAGTTAAGTTCATTATATATATATATATATATATATATATATATATATGAAATGGACAAAGGTCGATTGGCAAAGTCGATTTTATTACTGATCTTGGCTCGATCGGTTAAGGCACGTCAGTCTAAATGACGGTTCCGTATAGGATACAGTTTCGACTCCTGTAGGAGAACGAATATTTTCTATGAAAATTTCTCGGACATTCAGGCCGGTAAATGTTATTAATACTGTTTATTAAAAAAACAGAATATTTACTTAAATATCTTATCTATAAAAAGAATGTTAAACATAAAAATGTCTTTACATATATATATATATATATGTGTGTGTGTGTGTGTGTGCGTGTGTGTGTGTGTGTTTCTGTGTGTCTTATTTGGATGGTCTGGAGCGGACTAATCTTTCCTGCTTTCATAGGCGTCTAAGCGTTCTTCTGGTCAATTAATTATTTTAAACCCTACCGCTTGTTTCCTGAGGACGGAACATCGGAAGCCTATTGCTAATCGATTGCGCTTTCCATGCCAAATGTTCAGACGAGCCATACTTCTTCGTTCCATCAGTTCTTACAAGTTAAAATCCACCATGCCAGGTACACAGGTTCGAATCATCTTCATTCTATTCCGATTCCATTAGTAAGAAGCAACTTCTATTCGGACAGCATCTGCTTAGTGCAACTTATAGCAGGTGTAAAATAATAATAATAATAATAATAATAATAATAATAATAATAATAATAAAATAACTAGATATAAAATCGTCCCAGGAAGAATCTAGTTACACTATTAAATTTAAATTTTAACTGTTGGGCTTCTAATGACATGCAATAGGATTTCGAATAACGTTAGAATTTATATTCTTTTTTCCTACTACGTGTTAAATGAATGGCAGTTGTGGGATTAAAACGTTGCTAACATAGAATGACAATTAAAAGAAATTATTTGGAACATCATATAATTCTTCTTATTCCTTATTCTTTTAGTAAGTACGTTAAACCCAACCGCTACCTCATAAATAATGTGCTATTCCGTTGTGCTGGTGAGGAAAGATGCAAAAGACATATCAGTGATTCTGTCTGGATTCAGTGACAACAACAGAGAGGGGAGATAGAGAAAGAGAGAGAAAGAGAGAAAGAGAGAGAGAGAAAGAGAAAGAGAGAAAGAGAGAGATAGAGAAAGAGAGAGAGAGAGAGAGAGAGAGAGAAGATAGATGAGGAAATAAAGATCTCATGTGTTTAACATCTGCTTCAATGAAATGAAAAAAAAACTTCTTACTTCTGTAAATAAAGAATATTTATGTTGTTATTGCAATATTTTGTTGAAGTTGTTAAGCTCAAATATTTAACGAGGCAAGGAGATTATTCAATCATTAACTCCAAACGTATGATTTATCAGAAAATTAAAATAACAAAACTTTGAAAGTATACTTCTAGTAACTTTATAATTAAACAACCAATATTAAAAAAAAAAAAAAATATTCGCCCGATCTTGAATGTTCTCAATAATTAAAACGAAAGTCCGTCATGTCTTTACAAGCCCACAGACATTGAAGATAATTCTAGGAAAGACAAATTTAGCAAATTACGTGTGTATTTGGCAACCCAACCTTACGTTTTAAAGAATCATGAAGAAAAAAAAAAAAAAAGAAGAAAACCTTCTCAGATGTGAGAGAAGCATTTCACTGTAGTTCTCTGCTGAAATTGATGGTATCATTAAAAGCTCACAATCTGGGTTATAATTTTCGTGGCGTCCTCGCAGGCCTGGAGTAGATGCGGTTGGCAGTAATACAGAAATGAAGTCGTCAAGATAGAACGTAAGCAATGTATGAAGGGAATATGGAACGATCATTAGACGTCGACACACATACACGTTACAGAAACAGTGTCCTTGGGCACACTATATATATTTGGCTCGGTAAAGCTAAATGCTTCAATTGCTGGATTAAGCGCAGAGAAACGAGTGGGCACCAGCAAAGTCGCGGCTGGTGGACTGCCCATCCTCGGTAAGGGGTTGGCCACGAGCCAGTAATGATGGCCTTGCAAGGGTTTCAACCAGAATGCTGATGTCCACTCTAAAATGTTTTCAAAAATGTAGTTTGCATGGATATCGCCGAGCTGGACGATCTAATAGACGAGAAGATAAATTAATTCCACATTACGAAGCTGTCCATTCGTTTGCACATCTATCTATCTATCTATCTATCTATCTATCTATCTATCTATCTATCTATCTATCTAAACATGCTGACTATCTATCTATCTATCTCAATATACTCACACAGTATCTATCTATCTATCTATCTCAATATTCTCACACAGTATCTATCTATCTATCTATCTATCTATCTATCTATCTATCTATCTATCTATCTAAACATGCTGACTATCTATCTATCTATCTCAATATGCTCACACAGTATCTATCTATCTATCTATCTATCTATCTATCTATCTATCTATCTATCTATCTATCTCAATATTCTCACACAGTATCTATCTATCTATCTATCTATCTATCTATCTATCTATCTATCTATCTATCTATCTCAATATGCTCACACAATATCTATCTATCTATCTATCTATCTATCTATCTATCTATCTATCTATCTATCTATCTATCTATCTCAATATGTTCACACAGTATCTATCTATCTACCTCTCTATCTATCTATCTATCTATCTATCTATCTATCTATCTATCTAGTTAGCTATCTAGGAAGGCGCCTTCTTATATCCATATATGTGTATATTTAAACATGTTTCGTTGAATATGACTGACGAAGGAAATTTAATTAATTTAATTTTTTTCATCCCAAGAGATTTCAACCATTTTCGATAGTATTTTCCATTGTCTGTTTTCAAATAACAACACCTAAAAAGAGCCGCCCCCGAATTTGGCTAAAAAAGTGGCCGACAACGCTTGTGTAAGTGGAGATTACTGACAATTTTTTACAGTCCCTTCCCTCCCACCAAACGAAAAAAAAAAATGTAAGAATGCTGGAAATACTAAATAAAAATTAATTAAATTTTACTCGTCTGTCATATTCATTGACACATGTTTACAAGAAATGTTGCTGCCCAAATACACATTAATATATATATTTATATACCTATCTCAGAATGATGTTATCTATCTAATAACACTATATAATATCTAACAGTATATTATAGTAGGTAAATCAATAAGTCCGTAGTTTAATTAATGAAGATAATCTTTATTTTACGCAATACATATTTAGATTACTTTCTAGTATAAACTAATTCTTGGCAATGCACTATACACTTCCCCATTGATCACATAGACCGAATGTTATACAATGCAAATTTCAGCTCATGATGTACTTTATACGCAATACAAGTTTATGCAATACAAGACTCAATAGCCATTCGAGGTAGAGGGTTACTGTTGAAATAGTTATGATCAGATGTGATATGATTGAAAGAGGAGATGGTAAGAAGTAAAGGTTATGAGGATAAGGAGGATACAAAAAAGTTGTCCCTTGGTTTTAAGAGGTTAAGATTGAAATATTCACTAGCGAAAGTATTCAACATTTTGGGTAAAGAAACTTTGAAATGGACGGCATTCTCAGAATTATAAAAGGAGGTAGGCTAGCACACACACACACACACACACACACACACACACACACACACACACACACACACACATATATATATATTTATATATATATATATATATATATATATATATATGAATGAATACCGAATCCATTCAGGTGATATTTTATTACGTGGACTCAGAAGTCCATTGGTAAAATTTGGTTTGAACAGATGGACTTCTGAGTCCACGAAATAAAATATCACCTGAATGGACTTTTAAGAATTCTGTGTTTATTATATTTGTTCTGTTCTTACATTGAGCTCTCTTTGGATTTATATCCTCCTTGGAATTATCCCTACTAATTATAAAGTGATATATATATATATATATATATATATATATATATATATATATATATATAAAAACCGCAATTACGAACATAAGAGAGACCTATGTTGCGACAACACTTTAAACTCACTCGTAATTCACAGAAATAAAACAAGCCATAGCGTCAATTTTATAAATGCTGTCCTAATTAGGAAAAAAATCCTTATGCCGGAAATACTTCGAGAGAGAGTATAAATTATTGAATATTTTAACATCTGTAAACGCACGTCAAACACACTTTATTATAACGCCAACTGTCAGGGTTTCAATTCTCGGTAGTGGATGCGCACTGCTGATGAGTCCCAAATATAGGATGAAACGGCCGTTCAATGCTTTCTGAATTCTGTTCAGGTTTCTTTCAGACTCGATCAATTACTTATATATATATATATATATATATATATATATATATATATATATATATATATATATCAACTTGGTCGAGTGCAATTTTAATATAATTTCATTAATTATTTATAATTTTCTATGTTAGGATATGAAACAAATAGGAAAAATCTGTAAATATAACATGTTTCGCTTTTATTAAGCTTCCTCATAACATCAAATATGGAAGCGAAAAAGAAAATTCCGGTATTTTTACTTTTTATGATTCTTTTTCATAGGTTAGGACGATTTGACGTGTATTGATTCTGTCTTGCAGCATTCATGTGTATTTTTATCATAATTCATGTCTGTATTTGTATCATAATTAATTTGCGTATTTGTATCATAATTCAAGTGCGTATTTGTATCATGTATGTATTTGTATCATAATAAATTTTCGTATTTGTATCATAATTCATCTATGTATTTGTATCATAAATAATTTGCGTATTTGTATCATAAGTCATGTGTGTATTTTTATCATACTTCATGTACGGATTTCTATCATAATTCACATGTCTATTTGTATCATAATTCATGTGCGTACTTGTATCATAATTCATGTGCGTACTTGTATCATAATTCATGTGCGTATTTGTATCATAATTCATGTGCGTACTTGTATCATAATTTTAGCTCATTGACAAAAATGATGAACGTGGAGCCTGCTTAAACAATGAAAAACAAAAAGCACAAAAATAGCATAATTTTCTTTTTATCCACCACATTTCATTCTCTGATGAAGCTTTAGTAAAAGCGAAACATGTTAGATTTATAAACGTCTCGTACTTGTTCCTTATCCTATCATTCTGTCGGATTCCCATCTATATTTGATCACAATTCATATATATATGTATCTGTATGTTTGCGTGTGAGTAAATTTGGAATTTCTGCCAAATTTATATACAATACCGTGCAAAAGTGTTAGGCAATTTTAAACTATTATAAAGATCTAATAATTGCTATCTTATATGTTGGTATTTTTATTGAGTTATATACAAATGAAATTTTGGGCATATTGGCACCATTTTCCCCATTATGATAATTTTAGCAAGTGCTCTGAAGGATCGTGGAAGATTCGAGACGACCTCCAATAGTGGCCGTGCTAAAATCATTTCGGCCACCACACATATAATGTATATATTTGAGATATATATTAATGAGATATTAATGAGATATATATTAATGTATATATTTGATATATATATATATATATATATATATATATATATATATATATATATATATTACTGAGAGTATATTTCTCTTAACAAAATAATATTGAATTCATTGGGAAAATGTTATTTTTGATGTAAGAAATGAAAAGCTTTTCTCCTAAATTTAGAGAATTTATGCGAGGTTACAGGGAATTTTTGGGCCGAGCCTACGGGCTCGGATAGCCCCACATTAAACTCGTGGGGAGGCAGGTAAATACCGCCCCAAAGTGAGTCGCATAGCCTAGCGTTTGAATCGTACGCATTGTCGCACCGAACTACGGTGTGCTCTATTACTCTATTATTTATCCGTGTTTCACCTGTGATTAAACCTGTTCTTCACTGAACATTTTATCTCAGAACATCCTTGCAGTATTATTAACCAGAACTCCCAGAGTAATACAAACCTTAGGACATTAACCATGTACACAAGATCATAAAGTAGGTTACTTGATATTTCTCACTACTCTTTTCTGTCTATATCTCTGAGATGAGGTATCATAATGTCTCGGTTATTTCCCTTTAACTCAACTCTCCAAATTTTTGGTTCACTACTGCCGTCGCCTACTATTGAATTCACAACTCTATGGGTCTAGTCACTAGATCTAACCAACGTCTTTATCCATTGGGCCATAACGAAGACATCCGGAAGAGGCATGACACGTGGAAGTAGAAAAAATTACCCCTCTGGACGAAGTAAAGGGTTCGATTTGAAATTCCAATCCTCTGATGAAGGCTGGAGCGTACAACGGCCGAAACTTGTGAATATGGCAATGATGATGAGGATAACAGTCCGAATGATGTAAATAATGTAAATAATATATCTCTTGTCTTCAATGTCTCCTGTGAGCATCAACTTTTCCAAGTCCTCTTTCCTAATTATGAAATCTGTCCGTTTCAACTATCTCTTTCTGGTTACAAGTTAGACAAGTGAATTATAATGTCCATATTCATTGAACGCATGGTTATCATCCAAAAATCTTCGAATATACAATAATTTTGTTTTTTTTCCCCATGGAGACAGAAATGAAGAGATCTCCGGTATTTTCAACTCTTGAGCATCCTACATAAATTTGTCCGTAAGTAATGCGGGATTCCTCAAGATACCGTCCAGGAAATGGAAATGTTTGACCTTGGGATTTATCGACATGACATGTCAAGGCTTAGCTTTATCGGAAACTGAAATCTCCTAAATCTAATGGCATGATCGAAATTCTATGGCTAATTGCATCTTCTTGGACCAACTCAATGAGAAAACCTGCATCGATGAGACGTGGTATAAGCTTCTTAACTATCAGTCATGTGACACTGCATAGACGTATTCCAAATTACACAGATTATTGGGGAAATTTCTTTTAGCTGAAGTTTACGCAGCGACAGGTCTGAAGGTGCCAATGATTTAAAAGAGATCTACAGCGTAATGAACTACTTCTAGTTGGTACTGAAATGTGTTTATTGATTTGAAGCTATGACTATTTCCGGGGAGTGCTTTCGACAGTTAATGCTGTTGACCATAAAATGCTTGTGCGCAAATATTGACCTCACGTATACCAACTCGTGTATTAGTTAAGGTTATTACAGATTAAGGATCAACTTTGATATTAATCTGTCTGCTTTCTTAAGCACTCTGCTTATAAGAACTGGATGGACATGTAAATAAAGGAGTCCTCTGTAGGAGAAGATAACTTAATCATGGAGATTTTATCAAGAAAATATCTAAAACGTATTGAAATAATTCAAGTAATTTCAAAGTTATATTCTTGGTATTAATTGCAGCGAGAATATCACAAAATTTATTTTAACAAATATGTCTAAGAGATGCTAAACAAAGCGGTACTTTAGTTGATAAATTTAAAGTTTAATATCTCAGCCGTAGGAAGGTTATGCATTGGAGTAATGGATAGTGGCTCGGATTGAAGATTCGGAGAGCAGAGTTCGAATTCCAGTCGAATCCATTACATTAACTTACGTAACCCTGAGTATTCATACTCTTGGGAAAGGTATGAATCTTCTTCTTCTCCCTACCAAGCTATAGGTAAATAGCAGGACAGACCAGGTTCTATAACCTTGGATGGCAACTTGTATACCGTAGAAAGAAATGGTAACTTACTGCAGGAAAAAGATATCGAAAGATACATGATCGCCTAAGTGTCTATCACGCATGGAACATAACTGACTGACTATGGGTAAATAGCAAGATAGCCCGGGTTCTATAACCTTGGATGGCAACTGGTCTACCGCAGAAAGAAATTGTAACCTACCGCGGGGAAAAAATCTACATGGTCAGTCATGTATCGAAAGATAAGTGATCGCCTAAGCGTGTATCACCCATGGAACAGAACTGACTGACTATTTGTAAATAGCAGGACAGCCCGGCTTCTATAACCTTGGATGGTAACTGGTCTACCGAAGAAAGAAATGGCAACCAACTCCGGGAAAAAATCTGCCTCGTCAGTCATGTATCGAAAGATAAATGATCACCTATACGTGTATCACGCGTGGAACATAACTGACTGACTATGAGTAAATAGCAGGACAGGCCGGCTTCTATAACATTTGATGGTAACTGGTATACAAAAGAAAGAAATGGCAACCAACTTCGGGAAAAAATCTGCCTCGTCAGTCATGTATCGAAAGATACATGATTGCCTAAGCGTGTATCACGCATGGAACATAACTGACTAACTATTAGTAAATAGCAAGACAGACCAGCTTCTATAACCTTGGATGGTAACTGGTCTACTGAAGAAAGAATTGGCAACCACCTTCGGGAAAAATCTGCCTCGTCAGTCATGTATCGAAAGATACATGGTCGCCTATACATGTATCACGCATGGAACATAACTGACTGACTGTGATACGCTATACGTTTGGGCGATAATGTCTGATGAGACAGAAGATAATGCCGCAGTAGGTTGCCGTTACTTTCTGCGGTAGACTTGTTGCCAGCCAATGGTTTAGATCCCATTCTGTCCTGCTTTTCAACTCATAACCGTCGAGAAAAGAGGTCGGTTCATGCCTTTCTGAAAGGTAATTGTGCGTAAGTGTATGTAACGAACCTGACTGGAATTCAGGACGGTAATTAACCTGACTAATTAAAAATGATTTACATTCTACAATCCTTTTTAACGGATATAAAATTTATAAAAAAATGATCTTTCAGGACGTAGGCGATCAGGGTTCTCAGGTTTTTTTTCTTTATTGTTTAAGAATTACCATGAAGTGGGTAAGAAAAATAAACGGGTTTTCCCTTGCCATCTTCACAGTTTTCAATGTTAGTGCTTTTCCTTATCTTCGGTTCAAGAGCCACGTCAACGGTACTACTTAACCCTGGAGTAGGAGAGAAGAGATGATTTCCTGCCATTCTCGGTTGATTTTGTGCAAAAATGAATGCAACGAACTTGGCTGAAATTTGAACTCGTCACTCTGATTACACTTTCAGTATCAGCAACCTTTGCACCATACACACAGTTACGTTGGATTTAATTCTTTTTTTTGTCCATCGCACTTTTAAGAGCAAATCAAATAATCGTGGTTAGAAAGATATTCGTGTATTTATGATCAAATCGGAATGGAAGAGAGTCAATATGGATGGAATTTAAAAAGAAAAATCCGTTTTATCTTTAGCAAAACGAGTGTAGCGCTTTGAGACGAAGTCACTAACAGCATAAAATTTTTCTAATACGAAAGAACGAGACAGAAAAAATGAGTTTATTTTTTATACCATCATGTCCACTTATTGATCGTCTACCGACCAAACACACACATACACACAAACATACCCATACACACAAACACATACATACAAAACGTCTAATGGAAAACTTCTAAGTCCATATTTGGCATTGGAGCTGAGGAATTTTAAACTGGGAATTTTCTAGTGTTACCAGAGAACCCAAAATGTGACACTGAAATCCGAAGGCGCACTGGAACAGCGACAGATGCCTTTAAAAAGATAAGCAAAATAAGTCAGTAAAAGAACAAAATTCGTTAGGAATAAAGAAATATAATCCTTGTATGAAATAAACTTTTAATGCCGTAGTTTATGAATATCCGGATGGACTTCCCTGCTGAAGTTTATGAATATCCGGATGGACTTCCATGCTGAAGTTTATGAATATCCGGATAGACTTCCTCGCTTGACGAAACCCTGCAATATGCTTTATCAGCAACTGAGTGAAATTTAGCTTTTTTCTGAAGATATTATCAAACAACAATCTCTTTAAATTTAGTGTGAAAATACGAAAAAATGACCGATTGGCAATTTTTTGTGACCTGTGACATGATTTACGCAAATTGTATGTTAATTAGCACTTGATTGACCACACACACACACACACACACACAACATTGAGAATAACATTGACAGAACCTGTGAATAACGACGAAGGTTTAAGGAAAGCAGAATCAAAATGGACGCTAATACTTGTAATATGAAAGATTGGGTTGAAATTTCTCGGAAAAATTATGAGGAAATAAGGAATTTGACACTCCCAGGACATATTGAAGGCAAGAGGTAAATCTATGATTACCCGACCTAACAAGATTGTGTCAAGGGTTTACAAAATAAGCATTAGAAGGGATAGCGAAAAGATAAACTCTTCTAAGAGCTACAAAAGATAGTAATTTGTGGATAGGAGACTGAACATAGAAGAAAAGAAGATTCCTTGTGAGAAGCTGCATATATAAATAGATTTTTCACCCCAACATACATACAATTTTTAAAAATATATTGTGCCTATATATTTACCTATTTCCTCACGAGAACAGGATGCGAGACTTGAAATGTTAATGTGGATGCCGCGTATGTGTTCTTAAATACTTGTCGCTTCAGAAACCAATGTCACACTTGACGCCATTATGTACGAATTCACATCTTTGCAAAAATGTATTATGCTACTGCATACACAAACACAGACACACATACACAAATACACACATACACAAAATCAAAACGATCTTGTAAAATTTCATTATTCATCGAAAAACATTTCTCTTAAGATATTAGTGTCCGTCAGATATTTTATTCAAAAAAGTAATTAAAAAGCTTTTCTAATTATATAATGTCTTAATTCTTTTGCATTTTTTATTTTACGATTAGGAGCAGATATTCTGTAACTGGGGGTTGTTTTTGACGAAGAAAATTTGATGATTTAAAGTCTCCGAGGACTTGTTCTTATAAGTAATATAAACATTAAGCGCTACAATAAAAAAAAGAATTTCTCGAAATTTCATAAAATTAAATATGGGGATAAGAGATGTAAAAATAATAAAAAAAAACTCACTAAGATTTTCTAAAAAGAAACATTCCAAAAATAATTTAATTCCATTTTGAATAAGTCTTGTAAGAAATTATAAAATTATCTGATTTTTACAAGAATTACAAAATTCTAAAATTATCTGATTTTTGCAAGAATTGAGCAAAGAGACGCTCAAGTATCAAGTATTAATTTATGGTATCAGGTTGACGCCAGAAAAAACATTTTTAACCAAACTCTCAAAAGGATTAAAAAAATATTTTTGCATTAAAAATCCTTTTGGTTTTCCTTTTAATAATAACACAAAGATTTTGACGACAAAACTTTCTTTTTATTTAGTTTGGACATTTTTTATTATTATGTATGGTCTTTTAGAGCGAATATTCGGAGGAATCAAGATATTTTCTTTAAGTAAATGGAAACATTTAACAAAAAATAAAACAAAACAAAAAACAAAACAAAAATAGGTGGAACTTTACTTTTTTCCATAACATTTTTTTTCAAAATAAACTGATGAAAACTATAGCAAAATAATTATTACCGCTTTTTATAATAATTAGCTCTTCCTACTTAAAAAAACCCCCCAAAAAACAGGCAATCTGGTCGAATTAGTTTTATCTATTAACAGAAGTATCTTCCTTTCATTGGCGTCGCCGAGAGGTGAAAAGATTGACTCTATGAAAAAGTAAGTTATGCCCTTACTTTTGATAGCTGGAATAAATTATTATATGAATAAATAGATGTGAGCACCTGGAGTAGTTTACCACTGCAGGTTACTGTCCGTCTTCGTTAATGTATCTTGTGTACATATGAACAATTACACCCCGCTAATACATCTGATTTTACATCTGTGTAAATATATAAGTTATCGGCCCTTTGTTAATTAATAACGCCAGGCGACAGTCTACCCAGTTTCATTTCCCTATTTGTAACTTTGGTGAGACACTTTTCTCAGTCCTCGGCTTTCTGTTTGCATCTTACAATTAATATAACATTTCACAAAATTCGAACATAGAAGCATTCATCATTCTATTTTTTAATTTATATTAACGTATAATGAACTCATTGTCATTTGGATGCGTGGAGATGCTAACTAAGGTGGTGTTTCTTCTCGCTAATCTTCCCTTACCTATTGCCTGTATCATCTCTTATTTATCCTTATCCTATCCAATCTTCATTGTTCAGCTACATTTTAATTTAAATATTATACAAACCTGCATCAGTTTTATATGCAAAAAAAAAAAATGAATACGGAGTAAAAAATTATTTTATACTGCATCATCACTTTGTGTTTTGTCTTTTCTTAAAGAATTTTAATGTTTAGTGACTTTTGACACATTTTATGCTTATTATCTCTTCATTGTTCTATGCACATCCTCACTCTTTCTCACTCTCTTACACTATATATATATATATATATATATATATATATATATGTGTGTGTGTGTGTGTGTATGTGTCTATACATATATTTATATATATGAATTTATATATATATGTGTGTCTATACATACATACATATATATATATATATATATATATATGTCTATCCATATATATATAAATATGCCTATACATACATACATACATATATATATATATATATATATATATATATATATATATATATATATATATATATATATATATATATATATATATATATATATATATATATATATATACATTTTGAGGAAAATATCAGTACTCAATATCAAGGACGGCGTTATAAATACAGAATAGTACCAATCTGTTTCACGCTTAAATTTGGTTAAGGAGGCCATTGATTGCATTTAAGCAGGAAATAGCGTGTCGACCAAGTCATCAAGTATTGACGTTCGCATCGGGCCATGTATATATATATATATATATATATATATATATATATATATATATATATATATATATATATATATATATATATTATTGAACACAAAAGCTTTTATTTAGTTTTTTATACATTGTCTCATGCGATCTAATATTTTTCTTTTCAGATAATAAATTATATAAAAACTGTCCGAATGTTCTTTTTTCCGAACACTTTCGGCTATACATTTAGCCATTTTCAAGGATGAACTATTTTAACTGTTTTAATGGAATAAGAAATGCATACATAGTACCTCGCGCGCTCTCTTTCATCGTTCAACTACTCTCTCTCTCTGTCTCTCTCACTCTTATAATGCAACGCAATTGTTACCCCAGTGAGCAAAATAAAGGGTTCAATTCGACAGTGAGCGAAAAAAAGGGTTCAGTTCGATATTCCAACCATTTGAAGAAGGCCGGAGCGTACAACGGTCGAAACGTTGTGATAAATATGGCGACAAAGATGAGGACAATAGTCCGAATAATGTAAATACTGCTAGATGAGGGTGTACGTTTGTGATACTTTTCAACACCTGACGTCATTTTGGTTTCAGTTACTTTTCCCGCGGTTATCCTTAAAATGATTTCCTATTTGGTATTCTTCAGGGAATATTGGATAGGGTCGTTTTATTTCTTCCAAGCCATGCATGAAAACAGTTTCTCTGGCTACGTAAGCAGTACACCGTCACAAGTTATTTTATTTTCGTTGGGGTCATCTTATACGACTGACACGTCACGAACAATTAAAAGTGGTGTACAATTGGGAAAGAATTATTATCTAATGAAGGTTTTAGCTTTCAGTCTGTTGCTCGCAAAATTCAAACTATCTATCTATACACTATTGTTCAGCTTTGGACGCTGTGAGCTACGGTTGCCGTCAAACTGAGGGTCAATTGAGAAGAAGTTGTAGTTTAGAGAGTAACTAAGTGAAGATATCGATGTGTATAGTGTTTGAAATATGGAAATTGATCGAGCATGCGCACGAGCATGCGCGTATATAGGCACACACTAGTAATGAGTGAGTGAGAAAGACAGAGAGAGAGAGAGAGAGAGATGGGCGTGAGGGAGAGTAAATTAGAAATATAAAGGATTCGTTTAAATGAACAACTACAAAAAAGAGATGTTGTCTCGTAACGTAAATATCAAAATAGGTAATAGCAATATCAATAACTAAGCACACACAAAAATATATAAACGTATGTATATATAAAAACGGACAGACCAATCCTCTTCCGCCCCCCCATCACTTTGGTAGTGGCAGCTATGGCTATTCGCTGAAATATAATTAAGTACTTTCTAAATAATGTAAGAAACATTTGCAAACGTTTCATTTGTAAATGTGAGATAATTGTCTTGGAATGAAAAAAAAAATGTCGGCGTAAAATATATATACCGAAATTATTAGGTTATATCGTTGTAAAGTTCTTTTTTACCTGAATATTTTGAAGAGTTAACAGGAAGCGTCATAAACATCGAATTCTTTTCTTTCTGGGCTTTGTTATTTTATGTATTCATAATTATGTACGTGTTTAATTAACTTTTGGCTAATAACCAGAGCGGTTGTTAACAAACAAAATATTTACCCATTTCTTGCATCTCTCTCTAACTCTTTCTCCCCTCCCTCCGCTCTCTCTCTCTCTCTATATATATATATATATATATATATATATATATATATATGTGTGTGTGTGTGTGTGTGTGTGTGTGTGTGTGTGTGTGTGTGTGTGTGTGTGTGTGTGTATATTCTATATTTTGCCGCAAAGGATATCAGAGCGTCAAACCGAGTTCAAAACCGGGTCGATTCTAACTCTATCTATCTATCTATCTATCTATCTATCTATCTATCTATCTATCTATCTCTATCTATCTATCTATCTATCTCGTTCTCTTCATTATCTATCTATCTATCTATCTATCTATCTATCTATCTATCTATCTATCTATCTCTTTCTCTATCTATTATCTATCTATCTATCTATCTATCTATCTATCTATATGAGGTTTATAGTGTGCAGGGCAAAGGCTATCAGTGCGGAAAGTGAAATCGTCAAGCAGAGTTCAAAACGGGTCGATTCATTATCGTTCCCTTGTAAAAGGTATGGCTCCAACTACCTTGCACTATGGGTTAAATAACAGTTTTCTAGCCTTGGTTAACAACCAGTCTAGAAAAAGGAAAAATCTTAATTCAAATTTGAGGATAATTTGGATATTGTATGACAGACTGTGTATAATTTCACTGTCACAAGTCCCTCCAAAAATGAAAAAGTTTAAGTTTATGGCACATCACGTTAAAACATCGGTTCCTGATCACCGAAGTTAAGCAACATCAACGCTTGTCAGTACCTTGATTGATGACCGCTTGGGAATACTAGGTGTTGTAAGCTTGGATGTTTGGGTGGTATAATGGGTAATGGCTCGGCGTTGTTAATCGGAGAGTCGAATTCTAATTCCAGTTGAGTTCGTTAAATTCGCTTACGTGCAAATACCATCGAGAAAGCTATGGATAATTCGTAATAGTTCTAATAATTATCTAAAAAAAGAAATTCTTACAATCTGAAATTATTTTCTGGGTTTAAACCTTAGAAAACGAATTAATCAATCAAAACCTAAAAAGCGTGGCTGGTTTTACATAAAGCTTTACCATCAGTGTGGTTAGTATCGTGGCTTACTTTTAACCTGAATTGTTGGCCCCTGAAAATCAGTGGGATGCTACCTCCTATATATATATATATATATATATATATATATATATATATATATATATATATATGAAAATTTCTCTGATTTAACCAGTAGAGAAGACAATATTTATGAATAAAAATGACAATAGGAAAACTGGTAATTGCTGACGCGTTTCGTCCAATGTGGACTTTATCAAAGCAAAATACGAAAATGAAATTAATTGAACAAAGTAATTAATAAAAACAAAAACAGAATGTACCTAGCAACTGGAATGTAGAGAAACGCTATTTTCATATTTTTAACTGAAAAATAACGTCAGTATTTGTCACGTGTGGAGAATATTGTCATTATATCTGTGTTGATGTATTCAACCATTTTCTTTTGATTTTATGAAACTGTTGTGTACATTTGTTTGTAAGAGCAGTAATTTTGTTAAGAAAGGTGAAAGGGGGAAAAAAACCTGGGCGTAGATTAATATTTGGGTAATTTTCTATGGCAGCACTTTCCAGATATATATGTACACGCCTATGTGTATATATACGTGTATATATTATTGTGTATGTGTGTATTTGCATGTGTTTTTAAACATAAAAATAGGTCCTTGCTAGATTAGATAATCGTTATATTTAATTTTTATATATTTATATTTGATTTGTAACCTGTAGTCGATATTAAATTTGTCAAATTTTCTCAATTACACAGCAGCCCTTTCAGTAAATGTCCTTCAATTTTAATTTCCTTCGCCCCATCTCTCTCCCACACCTGGTCTTTCCCTCCCTCTTATTCTGATCTTCAACATTAGATCGTCTATGGTGTGTGTATGTCACTACGAAATGTATCTTTATGCATTAGACATCCGACAACATTCATATATCTCTTAAACCCCTTCCATCCACCTCCCCTAAAATTATCTCTATTAAGGTTTAATCTCCCTCCTTCTCTAGTCTGTTACCCCCCTCTTTAGCTCTAACATTCGTCCCACACCCTCATACTTACACTCTCTCTAAATTCTGTTTTTCTGTGTAGGTCTGATGAATTGGATCGTATTCACGATTACAATGGAATAAATTATGACCATGGAATATTAGTGTTTAAGCCTTTTTTATTATTATATATATATATATATATATATATATATATATATATATATATATATATATATAGGTAGTCCCTTCTCTCCACGTGAGTGTGGTTGGTGTGTGCATGATATGTGTTATAGTGGAACAACCTAACACACCCCAACTGTGATTGGTCAGTCTAGAAGAGACGTGACTGGGAGAATAAAAGACCCGACGAACTATTGTAGTAGAAGCGTAGGAAGGACGACTACAATCTCCGTAACGTATCTACTGATTTACTGATTGTTATATTTACAAACTCTTACTCATTCTACTTTCCGTACAATAAAACCTTGTTATTGTTTTACCTAATTGCTGTGTTAATGTAATCTTTCCACTCGGGGTTACCTGGTTGATTATATCGCATTATCCACGACATAACAATATGCATGCACCGGCCATATTTTTTTCCATCTCAGACTCGCCTAAGGGAATAAAGGTTCCCATTTTCGCACTACAGCTGCCGACTTCTTGACAATTGTGTGAAAGCATGAAATTAATTGTAGTGGTTGGACACTAATTCGTATTATACCGGGTGTAACATCAAAATTGTCCCAATCGTGTAACATCATAATTGTCCATACCCACAAAATGTTTAATATCTAAAAGAAACATGAGTTTCTTTTTTCCAGGTTTTCAGATAAGACGTTTAGCCATCTTGATACCATATGTCGTAAGAATTACCGAAAAAAAAACTTAGAGTTATCAGCTAGAAAAAGAACAGGTTAAAATCGTTTTGTGTCACCCCCCACTCTCTTCTGAGCAATGGTTAGAGGATAAAGATAATTCAGGATTTCAATAATGGTACCAACATTCATACTTTGGCTTCCATCTTCAAATCCTCCATTCAAGAAGCATCAAGAGAACGGTGAATATGTTTCTAAAAGAGGGAACAGTAGAAAGGAAAACTGGATCAGGAGGTCACAACTGGAAGAGGGATCATCATTTCAATTTAGAGCTAAAGGTATCAATTAGAAAAGATCCAACTCAATCCATATGACGTTTGGCACGTGAGAGAGGAGTTTCAGTCATGACAGTCCAAAGAGCAGTGAAAAAAAGACTTGAAAATGAAATCATACGTAAAACTAGTGAGGCACCTTGTTACTCCAGGACAGAGCGTTAGAAGTTTAAAGAGGGCGAAGATCAACGTGAATAAGTTGGAAAATGACCCCGGAATAATATATATATATATATATATATATATATATATATATATATATATATATATATATATATACACATATATATAATGAACTTAATTTCAATTCTTCATGAGCTTCGGATCCTTAGAACCTATGATCAATTAAAAATGAACATGTTATTTTTATTTATGATTGATTTCATCACGATTCTTCTGTTAAGCATCGAGAGTAATCATATATGCTTATTGCTCAAAGTAGAGTCCAATAGTGTTATAAATACCTCGGAGAATTCCAGTAAGATAACATTAATCATTTCTGCAATACAACGGTACTTGGCATAGTCTGCATATCGCTTCCCAATTCAACAGCAATTAACAGGTGGTTCAACGCACCTGAAAACCTCCTGATCTTAAGCCTTGCTGCTGGTGGTAGTTTATCATCATACCCAGGACATCCCCATGATTGGTGATTTAACAGGTAATAATGATGTCGTGTTGGATATTTTAATAGCTAATGGGGTAGTATAGCGTCTAGTAGAAATCGAATATAACTTTCGAAATACCTGTTGACGGCTAACGACACAAACGCCATTAAATATTCTAGCTTTTAGGAATAAAAGGAGAAATTTCTTTAATGATGTTATATTTGTTATTCTATCTGAAATCAATAAAAAATGTCTTTATTTTGCCATTGAAATCTATGTCCTTTCTCTCCAGTAACTTCAGCTTTTTCCATTTTTATTCTAGTATTTGTCGTGTCAGTCTCTTTGAGTCATGTTTACCTTAAAGCAACGAACAAAAGTTGGATCGCCGTATCTTGGCACTGTTTCAAGTTCGGGCTTAGCTACACTAAGTCGCTTTGCGCCTGCGTTCAGCTTGTTACTATGGACAAACCAGGTGTTGTACTGGTGAAATCAATAAACCCTGGCTCCGTGGCACGAATAGAATGGACATCACGAATTAGTAACTAAGAAGAAATAACAAATATGAGATACCTCCACGAATAATATATTCTCGTGGATTAAATAAAATGTTCGGTTTGAAATTCTGAGACACTTTCTGTTCACCTCTGCTGTGGCCATGTATTGAACTCTTTGAGTCAAGTATTTGGACTACTTCAGCCAATGCTTTTATCCACTGGGCCATGTGTTTGAACAAGAAAACTTGGGGAGTTGAGTTAAAGGGAAATAACTGAAACTAAGATATCCAGAAGAGGCATGGAGCGTGGAACTAGAACACTCTATCCCGGTGGGTGAAATAAAAGGTTCGGCGCGAAACGTCGTGAATATGGCAATAAAGATGAGGGCAACAGTCCGAACAATTTAAATAGTGTAAATAGTTATAATACCTCATCTCAGAAATAGAGACGGTTAGTCTTAGAAAATTACTGACTACAACAGAAATGTCTTCAAAATTACAGACTAAAAGAGAAATGTCTTCAAAATTACTGGCTACAACAGAGATGTCTTCAAAATTGCTGGCTACAACAGAGATGTCTTCAAAATCGTTCTTGGGAAAAGCTTTCATCTTGCACTACTAAATGTCACTTCTGTGATGATTACTTATACGTATAACTTTGCTAATTAACACCAAAAACGTTGAAAACTTATCAGTGTGTGATTATATATTTCATCAGTTCGATCCTTACTGAGATGTTGCCCGAAGTAAAGATGACTAAATCGTAACTATTGCTAACGGTTTCTGTCAATGAATGAAATCGATCCATATATCATATTTCTAGCTGGGGGATACATTTAGTTTTCATTTTTGCTAATACATTTCTTATTTCATGTTCATATTTCAGGTTCTTTATGATTTTATTTTTTTAACTTCGCAATATTTCGTATCTTTCCAGATTTCTTTTGATCGGATTTTGTTTTGTTTGATTTATATCAAATCTGAAAATTTATTTTTTAGCAAAATGTTTTCGTGTCTTTTTTCTCCTTTGGGATTTCTGTTTCATTCATTTTTTTTTTAAATCTTTGTTTTTCTTTTTCCTTTTTTGTTGGCCCACTTGCTTTATTCGTTTCTTGTCTTTCAAATCTATTATAATATGTCTCTATTTATCCTGAAGCGTAAAGACACTCGCGCGCACTTACACACACATACACACACACAGAGGATATACATACTTATTCCTGTTCAATAATTTCGTGACGCCCACAACCATATTATATATTGGAATCAGTTCTAAATTTAATGATGGTCTGGAGATCCTGCTATATATTTCAAAATCCTTTATAAAATTCAAAGAAGAATTTGCAATGTCATTGGTCCTGATCTGGCATCTCGGCTTCAGTTACTTTCTCGCCACCATAATATAGCTTTTGTGCCCTTTTTTAAATAAATACTTTCAAGATAATTGTTCTGACGAACTTTAATTTATGGTTTTACGAATGTAAGCGCAGTACTAGATTGGCGGGAAAATCTCATCATTTAACAGTTGAAATGGCTAAATCTAACCGTAATTTTTATTCTAACAGTTTATTCTCTTGTCTTTATTTCTTGTAGAACTTTCTGGCTTCTTGCTTTCCAGTCAAGTTTGATCTTCAAAAATGTAAATGCGATCGTTATCTTCTGTCTTCTTAACTTCTGTTCATTTATTGTTCTTGCACTTTAATTAGGTTTTGTTTTTTTCTATATTCTTTCCACTCAGTAACCATCTGCGTCTTAGTGGCTTTACTGTCTTGCTTGTGGTGAAATGAATAAAAATATACATAGAAGGATTAGATATACAGATTCACATAATTATCATCTCTTTTTCTTCATACATTTCATCATTAGTTTTTTTTCCGCTCTAGCAGTTACCTGTCTCAGTCTGTCATGCTTTATACCAAAAACAGTGCATTGGTAACATGTCTCGGCTGGAGCTACTCAAGCATTCATTTTCAGCCTCGAAAGTTATCAATATTGTTTACGCAGGCTTGTGGATGGAAACTTATTCTCCATTCAACGGCATCTTTCCTCACATAGATCCCACGTTGCATGGCTGTTCTGTTTTTCAAGGCAAATATTGAAGACCACTCTTTAGTTCAGACCAGTACATCTAGGACTCACCATGTTATGTCAACCGAGTCAAATGACCCACATTTCCGCCGTATATTCATAGACAGGAAGGTCCATCAACCTTCCCCACCGAGAAGGGCTACTTTGTGGTACAGACTCCCATCTGGATACTCACCTGAACACTACGATCTTAACCTCTTCAATTCAAGGGACAATCGTTCGTTATATATCCTCATTATCCTCCTAATCTTCACTTCCTACTACATCCACTTACATTATTATCACACACATTTCAATATGTATCATTTATTTAGTGAGCTTTATTATAACCACATACACACGCATATATATATATATATATATATATATATATATATATATATATATATAAAAGTGAACATAGACTGTCGCCTCTAAGTGTTGACTTCTATGTTCACTTTTATATTTACACACGCTATCTCTCTGATATTGAGCACTTTATTCCATAAATATAGCACACTTTAAGACTATATTTCTTTTATATATATATATATATATATATATATATATATATATATATATATATATATATATATATATATATATATATATATATATATATATATATATATATATATTTTTAAAATATGATTCCTTCTGCTACATAAGAGTTCTCATGTTTCAAAAACAAGAGTCAAGAACTTCAATATAATTATTATTAATTGGTTATTTTCTCGTACGGTTATTTCCCACACATGCCCATCTTAGGCGAAGCTGGGCTAATCACGAATTCGCATTTAGGAACAGCCACTGATATCGGATGACTCAGCGATCTCTGCCGGCTAAGCGGTCATACGTCAGGTCAACCTTTCACCCCGCTTCTCTGAAAGAACCTGAATGCAATGCTTTTTTTTTTTCGCATCACCGTATGTGAGCCATATAGTCTTAGTTTGGATCAATAGTAATCTCCGTTTTGGGGAGCCTACTGCAATGACGAATATATCGTCCTGACTAAATGCTACTTAAATATATCATAACAATCGATGAAAAGTGTGTTATATACGACAATGTCCATTAAAAACGGCTGTTGTCAAGAATAAATCGCTACAACCGACTTCAAAAGATAAACTTCATGGAAGAATCTTGTATGTTTGATAGGATTTTTGGGATATTATTCATTTATTGCTCATCCAAATATTAAATGTACATTTATAAATACAGCAGCTTCAACTTGCCCATGCATTTTTGATTGTGAATAGAAAAATTTTCTCTACGACTATGTAAGACGATATACATGAAAATAACCCAGGAAAATATTTAGGCACTAAGTTGGTGTGATTTGATCCATCTATCATATTCACCTCATCTTGCACCAACTGATTAAAAATTTTCATTGATCACTGCATAAAGCTTTGATGGAGAAATTTCTTTCCTATTCAACCAGGTTCGAGAATTCTCCCAAACGTTTGTCTTCTGGAATTTTATTCAAATGGTATAGAAGAGCTACATGTGGCAACAATTCAATGCAAATAATGGTGACTATATAACTGCATAAACCTTTGTTACTGTCAGTAAACTTCAGCAGTGGTACTTTGGTTAGATTCGAGAAAGTTGTAACGGATAAGGCCAATGGCGGACCACCAGACAGTCAATATGACTTTCCTTTAGTGCAATTTTAAAAAGTGTCTGGGCACTACGTCATGATCAAGCCATTGAACCGATCGTTTAAGATTGTCATAAATGCTCCATTTCTCATCAAATGTTACTATTTGATCAAGAAATGGATCATTTGAATTTCGCCGATGCAGCATCGAACAGACTTCAAAACGTCGAACTCTTTGATACGTGAAATCCATTTATCGAATTTCTTCACCTTGCCAATTCTCTTGAGATGGTCCGATATTGTTGAAATGCTGATACCCATTATCTGAGACGTTTCTCTGACACTTTGACGTCGGTTTTTGTTCGACTATAGCGTTCAGATGTTGATTGTCAGTTGCAGATACACCTTGATCTTCAAGACAAGTATCCCTACTGTAGAAATTCCGAAACCAGCGTCGTACAGTCCGAGCACAATCGTGAATTCATTTTTTTTAGCAGCAATTTAAGAAGCATGATCACTACGCTTGAAGTAAAGATCAACTTTTATTTTTTCATGTTCAAATGAGGGATATATAATGTTTCAAATTCTGAAAGAGATTGATATAAAATTAACAAAGAGGACGCTTTAATCATTAGGGATTAAGTAATGTATTTTTGTGTAACTATTATCATATTTTATTAGAACACAAATGGTTTATTCTAAAATCGTACATTATTTTCCAAATACCCTAATATTTCAATTTTTGTGGCTGGTGATGGATCTTAAATCTAAGATAAATAATCCTAACTATTAGAGGTTTTAATCAGTCCATTACTATTTGTTTAATGTTATTTCGACATGCGGTTGGCACTGCCAAACAATTCTGGCATTTCAGGGGGCCATGACATGTTTCTATATTTATTGGGTTCAACATACCAATGACAGAAGCTTTTCTTCAGATCTATCGGTTTTCTTTCACTGGAATCAAATTAAAATCGTTTAGTGTTTCTAAGAATATTTGCATGGAAGTCGGCAAGTATTTGTATCACTTTGTCAGCCGTGATTTGTCATTATATACTGTGAATTAACTCAGCAAATAAGACAACAATAGACAAAAGTTTCCCTTTCAGCTTTACGATGTGGCGATTCTAAATAAGAGAAAATAAAAACAACTAAGTTGTTTTTTCTTATTGAAGAGTGAATACTTGACGAATTATGCAAATTGATCCTAATTACCAACAAAACAGAACCAAATAAATATTATCAATGATAGGCTGCCGTTTCAAGTTTCACGTCATGTATATATTTGCATAATTAGGCTTTATTTGCATAAATTAGTCATGGATTTTTGAAGACGGTACTTTTTATTATGGTAATACGAATAACGAGTTATTCGTATAACAGAGACACGTTCCTGAAGAGATGATGGAAAACATTAAAGAGTAGAAAATGCTGGACTATATACTTCTTTCTTTCTTTCTTTCTTGTTTTTATTCTTCTCCTCCCCTTCTTCTTCTTCTCCACCTCCTCCCCTCCCCCTCCTTCTTCTTCTTCACCCCGTCTTCCTCCTTCTCCTTCTTCTTCACCCCATCCTTCTCCTTCTTCTTCACCTCATCCCCCTCCTCCTCCTTTTTCACCTCTCCTCCTCATCCACCTCCACCTTCTTCTTCACCCCATCCTCCTCCTCTTCTTCTTCTTCACCCTCTCCTCTTCCTTCTTCTTCTTCTTCTTCACCCTCTCCTCCTCCTCCACCTTCTTCTTCCTCTTCTTTATCACCCTCTTCTCCTCCTCCACCTCCATTTTTTTCTTCTTCTTCTTCTTCACCCCATCCTCCTCCACCTCCTTCTTCTTCTTCTTCACCCTCTCTCCTCCTCCACCTCCAGCTTCTTCTTCACCCCATCCTCCTCCTTCTTCTTCTTCACCCTCTCCTCCTCCTCCACCTCCACCTTCTTCTTCTTCTTTTTCTATGTGCCGCATCTCTACGGTGAGTGATAAGGATTCAGCATAACGTCCCGTTCTTTGTACTCTTCACAGTGTTTGTCTTTTTGCCTTCTCTGCTAAACCCTGTTCTACCAACCATTTCCACGTTAAAAAGGTTATTTACTGCTTTCCTCTTCCCCAACCCCTGTCTTCAACCTGACCCGGGAGTATCACATTTTCCAAATCCTTTTTACTCGTTATAGATCCTAGAAATTTCAGTGTACAAACGTTCTTTACTTTTCATTTTCTCTAAAATTACATCATTTTTCATATAACTTATTCTTGAGGTTATTGAATAGAACAAATTCTGGGACTGAAGAATTCGTTCAAGCATGAAACAGACTATTGCCACTCACTGGGGTGGGGGGTGATTTAAAAACAAACTGCATTTCCTTGGAATCGAAGTTGGTAGAAAACACCGGTTAAATAAAGTAATAAACATAAGTATATTCGTTTGTTTCTATTGTTCGCTAAATTAGTGTTCTGTTCACTGTTTACATTATTCGGACTATTGTCCTCGTATTTGTTGCTATATTTATCGCAACGTTTCGGCCTTCTTCAGGTGGTTGGAATGTCGAACTGAAACTCTTTATTTCGCTCGCTGGGGTAGATTGTTCTAGTTCCACGTGCCAAGTCTAATATACGTCAGTTATCAGTTATCTCCTGTTAATTCACCTAAGTTCTCCACCGCCTTAACCAAGTATTGAACTCACAGCTCTTTGGGTCCTGTTACTGGATCTAAGCAATGTGCCATGTGTTCTTAAGACCGAAACGCTGTGATAAATATGGCAACAAAATGAGGACAATAGTCCGAATAATGTAAATAATACCTCATCTCAGAAATATAGACAGATACTAATGTTCTGTTGTTTAAATAACGTATATAAAAAACAAAATACCTGAAATAGCTGATCTTACTCCCCACAATGCCTTAGTGACTAACATATATAAGTATTCAAGCTATAATCCAACCCACATGGATTGAAGATTGCGTTCAATCATGAAACAGACTGTCGCCATTCGATGTTTACATCAGTATCCACACTTTATATCTATCTATCTATCTATCTATCTATCTATCTATCTATCTATCTATCTATTTCACCTGCAGTCCTCTTTTCGGTTTTCTCTAGGCTTTTTACCTCCTGTTCCCTCTCATTCTTTCATTGCAATTTCTAATTTCTTCAGGCTTCGTATATTACTCTGTCAGAAAGCGTAATTTATAGCAGTTTAAAAGAGTCCTATATTACACACAACTACTACACTCTACTCGTATGTAGAAAAGCGAAAATGACATTAATTAAAAAACAAATATTAGCATAGACACGTTATTGCTTGAAGAGCATTGGTCAATGGACATTTTTTGCATGGTTCTGGGCGGTAGTTCAGTCCTAATCAATTTTTTATGAAATATAGGCCTGATTCAATATTATTCGTAAACATTCACAAAGTTGTCAAGTTCTTGTTAGTGATTTTCAAGGTTCGTTAGAAATGAGAATTCTATGTTGGTTTTTGTCATATAGAAAGAAAATCAGTAACTACCGACACGAAAATTCCAGCGTGACACTCTGGACTTATGAATATGTATTTTCTGCCAAGTGTATAAATAGCGGTGTCAGGCTACTGACTGCAGTGATCATTGGTTGATTATTCAGTGGAACTAGCCAGTTGAATTATTGATTTGGGTTTTGTTTTAGGATTTACCGGACGTTAACCCGAGCCGTGCTACTAAAAAGGTATTCACAATTATCTTTGGTTGACTTTTACTTCGTTGTTCATGTTAAGTATTTCTTTGTGGTTGTAATTAAATACTCTCTTGAGTTAAACTTAATTATTAACGGCCACAGTACGTCACAAAAGTGTTTTTTTATTATAACTTTGATTGTTACCATTGAAGATATGCGACAACTTATCTGCAACAAATTATGAGTCGTATAGTATATTTTAGCTTAGTCGGGCACAAGGCTACAAGAATTGAACACCCACTAAGAATCGAACTCATTCTATTATAAATAATCTTCTCAGCAAGCTTTTTACGGATTAATCAACGATGTAAAGAAAATTTCTAATAAGAGCGGATTACGGCCATATCCCGTTGAAACATTGGTTCCTGTACGATCACCAGAGTTAAGAAACTCGGGCCTGGTCAGTACCTAGATGGGTGACCTCTTGAGAATATCAGGTGTTGAAAGCTTTGATGTGCAGGTGGTGTAATGGATAATAACTAGATAGACTTCATTATATTCACATACACGGAAATAACCCTGGGAAAGATATGAATTCACATCTTCTCCCCCAGCTATGGGTTAAATATTTTTATGATATATGGTTAAGATACATGGGTTAAGGCTTGTATCACTAAATCGTTATTATCTCCAAGAAGAAAATTCTTACAATTTAAAAAATATATTCTGGTTTTAAATAATCTGCTAAGGGTTCGTAAGCCATTGAAACAAGTCATTCAATACCTGCGAATAGAAAATACTATTTGTTATGGTCCGGTTCCTTGTACCATGGTGATAGTCCAAGGTAGAACCAATAAAGAGGAACTCGAACACAGGTATGGAATAATACAGATATATTACAAACAGGAATATATACAGAGAAGTAGAAGTGTTAGTATGAACAATCAGGTTTAGTAGAGAGAACAATGTAGTCTCGACCAGTATCACTATTCCAATGTTCTGCAGTAAATGTCTGAACGCGACTCTGTTTCGGACTGCCTCTGACTCGACTCTTGACTCGACTTGAACTACTGACTCGACTTGAACTACTGACTGAGGCGCAGTATTTAAGTATGGAATAGTCCATTATTATTATTATGGGTAAGATCCCATAACACTATTTTACATATTTATGGTGGAAAGCAATTCCTAAAAGAGGGGTCACACACTTAGTCCTGCGTCATGAGTCTGTCACAGTTAAATCTCCGAGGATCAACTTCAGGTTAGGAAACCTAATTTCGAAAGCCTTTGACAGACATTTATATTTTAGTGCATCTGCACTGGAACAAAAGTTAGTGTGTTTCTCTTTTCCGTCATTTCTTTCCTATTCGGCCTTTAAGAAAAAGGGAATTATTATGGTTAGTACCAAGATGGGTGACCTCTTGAGAATTTCCGAGGTTCAACTTCAGGTTAGGAACGCTAATTTCGAAAGCCTTTGACAAACATGTGTCCCCTGGCCGACGTCAGGTGTATGTCGATACGGGAAACCTATAGGGAATTTTATTTAATCAACTGGGATGGACTGTTCTCGTTCCACCGCCAAGAGATATCACATCAAGTACTAAAAACAAGATCGATCTATCTATCTATCTATCTATCTATCTATAAGGTTTTAAGGAATATCGTTTTATAGAGTAAAAACTGAAAAATGCTCAATATTTGCGATATCTTAGTGTGTTTCTCTCCTCAATCATTTCTTTCCTATTCGGCCTTCAAAGTGGAGGGGGTAAAACATGTGGGTTGATGTCAAATTTATCTTCATCTAACAATTATGTTTGAAAGTATGTGAATATTGTTTTGAATGTAATTATTGTTTGCCATTGTTTTTGACATTACACTGACGTACCAAATGTCATAATTTAAAGTAGGGCCTACTTTCTATTATGGCGGAGCGCAGCAATTCGAGGTGGCATTGATTCCGCATATTTCCGGAAAACATCTAGAGAGATACTGAGCCATGCCGTCTCGATAGCTGTCCTCAGCTCTCCTTTTTATTTATCAGTCAAGGATCTTGCATGTATCTCCACCATGTCCTGCAAAATGTTGGCCTCATATCTGTGTGAACATGGCAGCCAACCAATTTGTCCGAAGTGTCCAGAACGGACTTCAAACCATTTCTAGGAAACTTGGAGCCAATGGCACAGTTCATTAACCCTAGAACACTAACCATGGGTATATAGTACCCAGTGCAAATTTTACTATTTTTAATTACAATTTTCAGTACCTGATTTTCTTACCTAAATAATATGTTTTTCAGTTCCTATTAATGTTAACTCAAAGTAAAAAGTTTGAAGTGCCTGCGTGTAAAATAATTCAAATAAAGATTTATATTTAATATTTTTTTTGATATTTTCAAAATCGGGTATAATATACCCATGGTTAGTAGTGGTGTAACTTTAATTGATGGTATGTGTTCTAGGGTTAATCTATTCAAATAAGACATATTTGTCAATGAATGGGTTAAAATGGTTACAAATTAGCGCAACATGGTGGTCAATGACGATCCAATCCCAGGCCATGTGAATCACCCAACATCATTTTGGAACCACTCGCAGTTTGCTTGTTGCCTTTTCAACAGGGTCCATAGTCTCATTAGACGTGTACCAGGGTTACAACTTCCCACCATCTTGGCAACGTGAGCCATCAGATCACACTACAGGTTACCAGTCCCTAGGGTCCATTTAGCGACGTGACAATCTGAGGTGAATCTGTAGAATCTGTCTGATGTTGTAGTGGTAACATGAGCGCCCTATGGGACTGCTGCTCTTATATCCCATGCAAGCTTTCTTTCAATTTGTAATGTATAATTGGGTTGCCGAAACATTATTAGAATCCAAGACGATACGCAAAACATGACCCCCCCCTTGTGTTTGACAGAAGTTCTGATAATGAAGTCTATTACTCATTATCATAATGTATGATGGAAAATCAGATTACTAAAATAATGCAGCAAATAATAGATGCACTGTTTATTTTACCAATGAAGACTTCCTTTCACTGAAAGATGTGGAAACCCAAATCTAGAATATCTGAATAAATATAGTAAGTATTTGAACTGGATCTTTTGTTTCCCTTTCTCGGCCTGTATTTGCAATGAAAATATACATTATTATTTGCAACGAATGTGTACATTATTTACAAGGAATATATACATTATTATTTGCAATAAATATCTATATTAATTTGCATTATCAACCTGCACCTTGAAAATGTAATTACGCCATTGACATCTGTATAGTTTTTAGGCTTTTGTTAGTTTATGCAAAATTGTGTTTTTTAATTAAAACTATGTGGCACTCTTTTAAAAACGAATTCATCTGTTTTGTTTTTTAATGTCAACAATATTTTTTGTAAAAAAAGTAAAAATGAGAAATATGACATTTATAAATAACAACTACATACAGATAACGCTGTAAAAGTCAGGGATCGAATTGACACTGTATGGATATTATGAACAGGACCCCCTCTTTCAAAATGAGAACAAATCAATATTTTCCTTTCTAACAAATGTTCTGGCTTAGGCATTGTCAAAACATGCTCATCTACAAACGGTTTACGACCATATCGCGTTGAAACACTAGTCTCCGTACAAACACCGAAGTTAAGCAAAGTAGAGCCAGTTCATTACCTAAATGGGTGACCACTTGGGAATACCAGGTGCTGTAATCTTGGATGTGCAGGTTGAGTAATGGACAACGGCTCAGAATTAGAAATCAGAGAACCGGGTTCCAATTCCAGTCGGGTTGCTTATATTCACTTAAGTTCATATACACTTGAGAAAAGCATGAATTCACATCGCATCCCAACTATGGGTTAATTAGTAAGACTTGTATCACTAAATCATTATTATCTGAAATAAAATCTTAAAACCAAAAAAATATTTCTGGCTTTAAATAATCTGCAAAGGGTTGATAATCCGTAGAAAGCGAATCAATCAATAAATAAAATATGGATTAGCTTTTCAGACATGTCTTTTAAATTTATTTACATTCTCTGGAATATATATGTATAGAAACTACCATGGCCACATAGTGAGGGAGCAGTTTATATTGCTTGAGATATAGAATCGATCCTCCACTTTATATACATATAATTTCTTGTTTGATAATCAAATTCTTATTTCCTTCAGCTTTGGGTTAATCCGTAAGATTTGTCTCAATAAACCATAATAAGCTCAAAAGAAAAAAATATTCGTACAATCTAAAAAAATTAAAAAACATGTAAAGGGTTGATAAACCGTAAAAAACGAATCAATCAGTCATCTACAGACATTATTTTCAAAACATATTCCTTAGTTTTTTAGGATTTGACCAATTTATTTAAGTAGTTCCGCAGAGACTGTAAGACGGATCGAAATCAATTGCTAAACAAGACTTTCTCGTTCTTTACAAATTCTTTCCTTCTGTGTTCGTTTGTTGACCGTAGTTTAAGTTCATAATTTCCCAAAAGTAGATTTTAAAAAAGAAACACGTAAATGTGCCAGATTCCAAAATGTTCCATTAACCACGGTGAAGGAAATAGTTATTGTTTTCATCAAGTTTATTAACTCTAAGGAATATTACTTTATTTAAACTATGACCAAAGTATAACCTCGCGTTCAGTGCTCTTCCAACACAACTAAAACTCCTCCATATCTATAACGCTAAATATTCGTCGTTGTCTGTGAAGATAAAACACTATTGTATTTATAAATAACCGAAGCAAAATTAAAGAAATAGGATTAAAATAAAAACGAAATCAAACTGGAGACAGTTAATAAAAAATGAGTAAACATTATGGAATTAATGTTGAAGCGCCTGGAGTTTAAGTCGATTTAACGTGTGGACATTAATGATAGATTAAATTTACAGCAACACTAAAGCGAAGAGTTTTGCGCATGCGTCATATCAGAACATTCTTTGTGGTAGAGCGTTAGCTAACAGCATTAAGAAAACAAGTCGTATTGCCAAATGAAATGAAACCAATAGAAAAATAAAGAAGATTTGTTATTTTAGAAAAACAAATTGAAGCTGCCTAGAGAATAGAGAAATGTAAATATTTATTTTGCTTAACGTAATCCGCTTCCGTGCCAAATAGTTGTGAACGAAGAATGTGTTGTCACAATCTACCATATAGGGACGGTCGGCTTGCTTTTGGCATGACTAAAATGAACTCCAACTGGAATTTCCAAAATAAAGAACTAAATAAAGATCTTTTTGTAAGGATCGGACACAAACTAGTGACGTCATTGTATACTGTATAAACTTGCTGTAAGACGTCTGACGGATTTCCTGACTAAGAAAACTGAAGGAAAAGATCTTGCTTCCGTTCCACTTTCCTTTTCTCGCACAGTTCACGCCTACGCACAATAGGCACACATCTCTACGCAGAGAGAAGTAGGTTTATAACCTTTTCGGAAATTCACTCGCACTCACAAAATCCTGAAAAGAACGCTACCCTCAAAGTATTGGACAATTCATCAAAGAAACCTTATTCTCGTAACTTATATCACATAGCTAACTTTTTTCAATGTTTTTTTCCCCAAACTATGCACACTAAAACGGTTACAATTCCTTTTTGTATTTGTTGAATTCTATTAAATCTATTTATATATACTTTTCTTGTATTAAATCGATGTATTGATCTATGACTTTTCCTTACTCAACCTAACCATTCGCATACGAATTTCATGTGTTCCTATTCGCTTTTCTATTCTTATACGTCTTTCTTGTAGAAAAATATATGTATATATATTTTCTTAATCAGTATAACCCCATGCAAGGCAGTAAAGCCACTAAGACACAAGAAATTACAGGGTCTGGAAGAATTAGGAACAGAAACATTAGGAAAGACTAATCAGGAGAATATTATGTAATGATTGAAAAATAAACTGTTAGCATAAGACTTACGGCTATATCAAGCCAGCTCAACTGTAAATTGATGAGATCTCGATGCCAGTCCAATAATGCGTTTAAATGCAAAAAGTCTACGTACCATAGATAAGAGCTCATCCGAACAAATGCCATGAATGTATATATAGAAAAGGCACAGAGAATCAACTTTCGGCGGTAGGAAAGTGATTGAAACCAAGCCGCCATATCAGAACCAATAATATTGCTGATTCTTCTTTGGACCTTATCAAAGAGCTCAAGGTAAATATCAGGGACACCGGACCAAATGAGGCAGCAATATTCTAAGAATGAACCAATGGTAGACTTAAAGATATTTTTTTAATCATTTCACCACGAGCAGTGCACTAAGACCCAAGGGGTTACTGAGCGTGAAAGAATAACAAAAAGAAAAACATTATTAAGGAGTGATAACAATAAAATAACAGGTATCTGCTAAAAAAAAAAAAAAAAAAAAAAAAAAATTCACAGATATTTAAGTCTGTACTGTTTGATTTTGACATTTTCCGTTCGTAGTTCGCGTTTTGGACTGATTCATGCTTGCTGACAACCAGATATTCTGTATTTGCATAGTTGATAGCCTGTGATTGATATTTCGCTTTCCTTTTGTCTATGCGGTCTTGTAGTTTTCCTTCCAGGTCTGCTATCAACAGAGCGTCATCTGCACATCTTATGTTAATTGCACCCACCAGTAGAGTTTTCAGCTTGCTTAGGATGAATTTAAAGGATGAATAAATCCGGTGAAAAGACACATCCTTATCTAGGACAGTTTCTACTTTTTTCCTCGTCACTTACTCTAAAAATTTTACTAGGACCGTCACCATTTTTGCTTTACGTGCAGTTGGATAAAAATCGTTATTTCTTGAGTTATCTCCCTTTGTCGATTTCATACATTGTAACCTTAAGGTAATATTCAGGAAACAGCATGTGTAGCAATTCGAAAACTCTTACCAATGGGGAGTTCAATCAAGAGGTGGTAACCACGGGGAGTTGTTGACCAGCTTTTTCTTTATTTTTTATCATTTCGCCCCATGCAAGCTAGTAAAGCCACTAAGACACTATGCATTACTGACTGTGAAGGAATAAGAATCAGAGAAACATTATTAAGGAGCGAGAACAACAGAATAGTAACAAGGAAGACAGTAGATAACGATTTACATTATAGTTGGCTGGAAAGCAATCAGCTTCTTTTTTAGATTTTATTAAGAATATGGCCCCTCTTGTATTATTCTATCTATTCGAGTATGTCTTGGATAAAATCTATCGGTATACGCTTTTCAAGCATTTAATCTGCCTATTTCTATATGTCTTGTCTTTATTTTGATGCTACAAAAATAATGCCTGATTACGACGAACTGCTTGAAAAAGGCAATGTCACTTTAGTCCAGTTGTTCCTCAACACGTAGCTGACTTGACTTTCTACATTTTGATTTATCAGATTTAATTTGAAACAATAAAATTTATAACGACGACTTAAAACAATTCTGATTTCTTTCCTGCAATTTATGTTTTTTCACAACCGTGAAGATGACTCGTGAGAGTCAAAAGGTTAAACATATCCTTTATATCGGATCTTTTTTTACAATCCTGAAAATGTCTTTTGGGAGTCAAAAGGTTAAACACATCCTTTATATCAAAAGTTTTTTACAACACTGAAAATGTCTCTTGGAAGTCAAAAGGTTAAAGATATCCTTTAAATCGGATATATTTTCAAAATTTTGAAGATGGCTGTTGCTAAACATATCCTTTATATCGGATATTTTTTCACAATCCTGAAGATGGCTTTTGGGATTCAAAAGGTTAAACACACACTTTATATCGGATATTTTTTCACAATCCTGAAAATCTGTTTTGGGAGTCAAAAGGTTAAAGATATACTTTAAATCGGATATATTTTCAAAATCTTGAAAATGGCGGTTGTTAAACTTGCCCTTTTTATTGGATATTTTTCACAACCATGAAGATGTCTCTTGGGAGTCAAAAAGTTAAACATGTCCTTTATATCGGATGTTTTTCCCAATTCTGAAGATGGCACTTGAGAGTCAAAAGGCTAACCATATCCTTTATATTTGATATTTGTTTCATGATCCTGAAGATGGCCTTTCGGAGTCTAAATGTTAAACATATCCTTTATATCAGATATTTTTTTTCAAAATCATGAAGATGGCTAGTGTTAAAATATCCCTTATATCGGATATTTTTCCACAACCCTGAAAATGACTCGCGAGACTAAATAGTTTAAGCATATCCTTTATATCCTGAAGATGACCCATGGCAGTTAAACGGTTAAACATGTCTTTTATATTGGGTAATTTGTTTACATCTGCAACGGCCAATTTACGAAAAGTGATTTGCAGTTTATAAAGGTTTTATCAATTCATCTCCAGTTTAATGATAAAGGACTCATTTATTTTGCATAAATAACATTTATTTCCCACATTAATTCTTTTCTCATCAAAGCGCTTACTTCAATGTCGTATATTAATTCAATATCGTATATTCATTATATCGATTTAACATTATAAAATAAACATTACAGATCAAAATTCAATTAATAATTACGGGTCAAGCTACAGACTTACTGATCTGCTATCGTATGGATATTTTATATTTCAATTTAGAAAAACATCAAAATAACAGAAGTTTGTCGAGACATCAAGGAAACCAGAGAAAAATGTCTGCCCAGCCGATTATTAAATGTAATAGAGTAAAAGAACAAAACATAGCAACAAATGGCTATAAAATACGACGATGATCATGTTCATTTTATCTAGAAGTA